ATAAAGTCGTAAATATTATTCAACCCTGCGGTAGATGGTTCATTTCAAAACATCGTTTGCAATGTAAATATTCTGAAAAATTGCAATTTAACAGATGAAAGGTTTAAAAAATATTCGAATGTTGTTTGTGCTTTTAGTTTTGTAAATCTGCTATGGGAAACTCAATTTCTAGTGTTAACAAACAGCATCTCTGTATGCGTACATGGCAATTTAATTTTTCAGTTAGAAAATATCTATCTATACGGGGTGCATTAAGCAACCAAGGGCTAATCTAGAGGATTCATTTGGGGGTAATATTTAATTTCTTTAGTTTTCTACATCAATTTGGTTGCCAATGTTGAACTTATTGTCACGTATTTAAACACCTTCTCACAGTATTACTACTTTTATTTGACTATTTTCCATCTATTACTAATTAGTTGCCTATTTATAAATATATGACCACTTACTTCTTCGCTTTGTATCACCACGTAACTCAAACTCGTACTGGTACTCCATTAGGTCTCGCGACAACTACTTATAGAGGCTGGCCGTGTTCTAGAATGATCCAGTATATGCCGTCTAGAAAGCTAGTCTTGTTTATCACTCTGTATGTTGGTTGGCCTATACGCATGTGACATTATTTTCATTAAGGAAAGGGAAGTCCTTTAGATTCTTTCATAGATCTGCAAAAATTAGTTAGAGTGGATAGATTAGCTCAGGATAGAAAAGAGTGGAGGTGCATGTCCAGCCAGTCTTAGGACTGACGACCTTATGATGATGATGTCCTTATAACTCGATTAATCGTTCGACAAACGTGGACAGTACGTCAAGTATCCACCTGGTTATAATAAATATCAGTGGACCGTACCGATATTTGACGTCTTGACGCGAAATTTCGTTTGATCGAGTTAACCCGTAGAAGGCGCTCTCTCGTGTCAAATTAGTCGACGTGTTCGTAGAATATATTAGATTATGTAAATAATTGAATTGCTCTCAGACGGTCTAAGGTCCCGCTAAATTTAATTCGTTTCATACGACTGCTACGACCGAGTTCCAGTGAGAATTAATGAAAGATAAATGTGCCACGGGCCTCGATATTTGTCTCTCCCGAAGGCCTTCTCCATCCGGTTATTATTAGCTGACTTCCGCAGAAATAGGATGTAGTATTTTGTTGACTTTTCGCGTTTCTCATCGGATCCATCTGATTGCTGAAATAAATGAACGAACGATTTCATCACTTTATCAATCTGATGTGTGATGGTATTTTTCCAAAAAAATAAGAGGATCGGATAACTAAAAAAGTTGTGACGAGCTCTTATTTCAAAGTTCTGTCTATTGAATTAAGAATAAATTTGGGAAAAGTTATTGTACCTATCGTTTAAATATATCTAACTTTGAAAAAGCAGGTCTTTTGAAATACTGAGCTTCTTATCGGTGGATTCACTTCTTATCATTAGGTCCAGTTGATACTGGACGAGAATTTGAGTAGTCCTGTTGAATTTCTTCTCTGGCATCCCATTGTTAAGATTACATATGTAATTGTCAATTAGAATCGATTTTTCATCATTTTTAATGAGATAACATTAGAAATCAATTAGTTATTTTAGTATGAAATCATATATTTTTTCTATTATCTGTCACCTTCTGTATAAGCGGAATTACTGGTCTGCCTCAGCAAAAATTTTACTGAATATACAAGAAAGAAATTAGGGGACGATTTTCAATAAGATTTAGTTCTGTACAAAATCTTTGGCAGAATCATGTTTCAAACTCAATAAATGTATTGTTAAATGGCAAATTACAACCTTCATCATTATTATAAGGTCGTCAGTTCTAAGACAGGCATCCCCGCAATTCCCTCAAACTAGAACATCCCACATGCTTAACTATTTATAAACAGTAATCTAATTTAGGTCTACCTCTATTGCTACAATCTTAGTATAGAATAGACATAATGTCTCTTTTACGTATAACCGAAAACATTTACAAATATTATTCCCTCATATTATAGTATTTCAGTTTTCTGTCGTTGTTTCTCCTAATTGATCCTTAAATTGGAGTAAATCTTCATCCACCCATTTTGCGTCAGTTCACGCTCGAGCGCATTTTTTTTCTCATGTAAATGACAAATTTCATTCGTTAGCCTTTCTGATTTGTTTTTTTTTTTTCTATTACTTCCTCGAACCTCGTTCAAAATAAATTGGTCAAATCCTCTTATAAGACGCAATTCTCCGTTTGTCATGTCTGTAGCACCCTTTGTTCTTTTTGTTTAAGTAAGGATTTAGTTTTGAAATATTAGCGCAAGGTTTTCGTAATAGGTACACCATGTGAAATAAAAATGAGAAGACCGTGGGCAGACTGCGATGTGACGTAATCAACATTAGATATATAATTACCTACTGTATTTTTAGGAAAATAATTACTTGTATTTAGTAATTATTTTTACGTATTTAAACACCTCGAAATACTACGAGTTTCATTTAACTATTTACTGCCTAATTAACACTTCTATTATTAATTAGTTATCAATTCACCACTGTATGTCACTTCTTCGCGCCTTCTTCTTCACTTTGTATCACCACGTAACTCAAACTCATACTCGTACTCCACTCGATCTCGTGACAACTATTTATAGAGGCTGGCCGTGTTCTAGAATGATTCAGTACATGCCGTCTAGAAACTTGATCTTCTTTGCCACTATGTATGTTGGGTTGCCTGCATGCATTTGAAATTATTTATATGTATCTGATTGTAATTAACGGATTAAAAGACCTGCAATGTGTTTGTATCTTTAATTTTATTTCAAAGGCTAAAATTCTTTAGTACGTAGATATAGTTTTTGATACAAAACTCTAACCCACCAAAAAATCGTCAATTATATTATCTCCAAGTAATATTTAAAAAGAATAATTTCTTACGCCATGAAGAAAATAAATAATAAGTTCGCCCAACCACAGAGGCCGGTTATCTAACACCTTAATCCTTCTTCCTAATTGGATTATTTATCTTGGGGTTGACTTTTGGAAATGAGGTCAATGGTGAGAGTGTGAAAAGTCAGGTGAAAGAAAAAAAAGTTAAAAGAAAGAATACGGAGGAGCAGAAGTGGGAAAGGGCATGGCATTTTTTTACATCATCCACTATCTGATAACGATGTCATAAAACTGGGATGAGTAACGTTATATGGGGGTGCTGAAATAGACCCGATTTGTTTTACTTTATCTCGAGCGCGTTTTTATGTAGGTTTTTCGTTGATTGGACAAGAGCCGGGGCCCTCGGTCGAATTTATTTCGTCGAAGGGGTGCGTCCGATAAAATGCAGAACGGATATTCGGTCATAATTCCAATGGCGGATTGTTTTCGCAAAAAAAAAATATCGGCCGAACGGACAATTCCGCTCTTTTATTGGCCACTAAATAACCCAACAAATAGCTTTTATGTTACCCGTGCTCCACCATCATAGTAGATTTAATGTGATGCTTTCCTCCTTTTTATAAGATTATACCAAATTCATAACCATTACAGCAGCAATGTTGTTAGTATAAAAGCGGTAGCCCCCAAAATGTTCCAAATATGGGAACGGAAAATTAATAATAATAATAATAATAATCAGTAGCAGAGTTCGTTCACTTAGAGAAAGGTACACAATGCCAGATCGATGTGCGGGGACTCCCTTAATGGGAGTACATAACAGTCAGGAAACAATTGACGGTAAACAAAGACCCGCCTACAAGCGATATTCGTTTGTACGCATCGCTCACGCTGTACCTTTCTCTAAGTAAACGAACAATATCTTTGGTGTTTTGGTTACGCACTCGTCACCGGTGTGATTGGTCGTCCCGCACTCCTTTTTAATGAACGTAGAAGGTTAAGATAAGGTACATTGTAGGTACCCGTGACCTACGTATTAACACTTCCTAATCTCATTAAGTATTTACAATTTCGAATTCAGCGCATAAATGAAACTTTATATCGTATGTGGATGTTGTGCAGATGAAAATGACATTAAGAGCCAGAGATTATGTACAAAACAGTTCCTTAAAGATGAAAAAGGCTCTTCCGGGCACTTTCCACGATTACAATTCCTTTTTGTGCGCGATCTCGTGCTTTTGATTATATTCATAAGCACGCAGAAGAAGCCATTCCCTTCCAGTCGAGTGACATGAAAAAGACAACTACTTTCTACGGGAAAATGGAAAAAAGAAGTTGAAGTGAACCATCTCTTCATTGCTAAGCATCAAACGACTTTATGGGTCCTCCGAGCATTAGCATTTTTATTGAAGAATAAAAGATTCCGAGCGTTGTAATCTTGGCCACATAAAAGTTACCACGTACCTTCTGATAGAAATAACAGGAGACGACTTGTAACTAGAGAAATAAATTCGTAGCAGGCTCGTGCAACTTATGTCCTCCGAAAGACAAGCATCTCCTCTTTTTCCTTCGACTGATATAATTTGATTTCGTTTCGTGCCGTATCAATTTAATTTGTGGTTATATTTTGAGAAGGGAATTTAAAAGTACTGTAATGTTCGTGGATTTAACAAAATTTAACTTCTAAGACGAAAACTATTTATTTACACAAATTATTATTGAACTTAAAAACACTATTAAATTATTACTAAACTTAAGTAATGAATTACTCTATTTATTTACAGTACTGTTGATATATCACTATTCACTGCGCCGTCAATTTATTTCTAGATTCACTTCTGCAACGGTCAATTTATTTCTTCTCTCCCGGCGATCGTCTCTTCCTTTATATACTCTTTTGTTTACTTTCGGGAACCTTCTCGAACCGTCCGGAAAAGTTTCTTTTTTCTTTGAACTGTTTAATTGCTTTCCCAGAACGCAGGTACGACACACACGTTTACAGATACGGCGCACATGAAGAAAGGCGCCCGCGGCTAGTCGACGAATCGATAAGCCGCTCACCTTGATGATGTTGTGAAACCCAACAAATCCCATGATGGTATTGTGAGACAGCCCAAAATATTTAGATTAATTTGAAAAAAAAAACGCCAAATCAGATAGTTTCTTTATTGAAAAATTTAAATTAAAAAGTCTTATACAGCAAATACTTTAACATAGTCAACTATCAGCGCGGAATCATTGCTCCAGGTGGGATACCATTGATTCATAGCCCTGTAAAAGTTCCTCTGATTTTTAGGGTCGTTGTTCTTCCACGGTTTGGTGTTGGAATCCGGGAAACACAAGCCACCTGCTCCTACCCCAAGCACCAAATACATCTAAATAGAAAAAAATATATATAGATTATCACTGGGTCCGCGCAATCGCCTTTGCATCATGTCATTGTAAATTTAAACTTAAATTGAAATGAAGCAATTGGTAGAGATGAGTGGAAGGTAACTTGTAAAAGCCGAAAGTCGGTTTTCAAGTAATAAATATTGTGTACTTCATACCTCTTTATCAAACGGGGCCATTTTAGATCCACTTCTCCATCTTTCACCCGTCTCAGTGGCAATACCCATGGTGTTCGCTTCCTGTGCAAATCCTCCCTGGGGTGGATATATATTACCGTAATTTTCCCCGTCTACACTGACGCTTATTCCATCTGCAGGATTAATTGCAATTGTAATTAACACGGAAACAGATCTCAGGTGTTACCGAGATAGTGTTTGGGGGTATTTTAAGTTTAAGTAATAAGTACTAATCGTTTTTGGGGTATCATTAAAAATGTTGTTTTATATTAAGTAGGGTAGTAAAGAAGAGACCTAGTGGCCTTAAGGCGTCCGGTTTCCATATGGGAGTAAATAAATTAAAAATACAATACAAATACACTGTATTTGTTTGTCTTTTGGAAACTGAGACTATGATACAAGATTAACTTTATTAATTTATTAATTTTCGATTAACTCTTTATCTCATACCGAATCGTGACGTTTATTGATGAAGAAACCCGAGAGTTTTCAATAAAAAGACCAATGGGGGACACGTCGATTGTTCAGAAAATTGTATTCTTCTGTTTTTCATCATTTATTATATTGTGGTTTTTATTGCGTGTATCGGTTAATTGAAAAATATGTCGGAATCACAATCAATTCACACACTTTGGCGAACTGTTTAAGCGAACATTCGGGTGGTATAGGTAGTAAAAGTAGTTGAAGATATAGAAGTCGAACATTATCGTATTTGTGATATTTTAGGAAAGTTACGTACGATGAAGTTAATTGAACCAAGTGAATTTATGCAGATGTAGTTACATACATAAAAAGAAAATCAGAATTTGATGTTTGAGAATGATTTGAAAATGTATTTAATCGATATTCTGTAACACTAACGGCTTATAATTAGTGCTACGAAATCGCTTCAAGTTCCTGCAGGAATTTATACACTTAGTTAGGCAAGTTCGGACTTAATCTTAATATTCAGTTCAACTAATCCTTTATTAACTTGATTTATCGGACGCCCAGTGGACCGTTAACGAAAGATTACTTTGAAATATGTATATATTTGTTATATGTATAATAATACATATTAAATATTGAATTGCTTCGATCTTTAGTTGATGAAAATTCATGAAATCAAATGATATTTAAACAATTGGAAATTTTCACTGATATCGGGGCAATTGTTTCGAAAAACATTGGTATTTACGTGTGTAATAATAATATTATGCCCAAAGAAGTTAAATAAATCTGTGAAAAATTCCTATTGTGTATTAGGTGAAGTTACTAATTGCCTAATTAAAATGACTTTACGTTGTAAGTCACAAAACTAGTTTTATATTTTTTACGCTTCTTTCTTTTTCCTTCGCGTATAATCGGAAAAGATTTTTCATCCGTTTGGAAAAACTCACCGGGAGTCCATTTCATTTCGTACACATGAAAGTCGTTACACCATCCCGGTTCCTTATGCAGCCTTCTCATTCCATAGTTTCTTGCCGCCACCGAATCTCCTAGGATACAGCCGGCGGACAAGTCGCTGTTCGAATTTCGATTTCCGGGTGAGAAAGCTATTCTGATTTGACCGGACTCGTAAAGGCGGCCATATTCTTCGTTCTTCGAATTTAAAAACAGCTCTGTAACAACAAAACATTTCCATTCCTAACACCTCGCACCCCTTATGCATTATTTAACAACACGATATCCTGTTAATCGTACCTCTGTCTCAAATACAATACTAATTTGATCAACTATCAACTATCTTTGGAACATCTGAGTGATGTTGTTTTGTTTATTTACGTAATAAAAGAAAATCAGCTCATTGTTACCTTCATTGTTGTTTCCAAATTCAGAAAAAATGACAATGCTTTGTGTTCTTAAGTTTTACTATTGCTGTTCTAAATAAAACAGAACAATATTTTTAAACGAGACGAAAGTGCCCTGTAGGAATATGTGAACCAATCTATTAAACCCATTTACGTCTACGTCATAAATTTAATCCTCAACATTTTTTGGTAAAGAGTCTAATATTTGTAATATGTATCTATAATGTTTATTTAGTAATAATTCTGTTTGATTAACATTCTATAGGTACCATTGTGTTATTTGCATTGGTCCTGTAGCTCGGAAATAATTATTGTCAGTTAATACAGAAATCCGCTTTCATCATTCCATCGAAATAATAATTAATTATCGGGATAGCTGATATATAAACCCTTATCTCAAGCACAGTTCGAAATATTTCGAGTATTATCCAATGTCGATTTTGACGTATTAATAAATAATCATATTGCATTCACAGCAACTATTTCCACATGCTCGAATATTATATCAGTTCTATATTTATTAATGAATGTTGTACTTTCAATTATAAAAAATTGTAATATCAGTTGGGACTGATGTTTCTTTTTTAATAAAAATGGAGATCGCAAATAAGATAAGGCAACAGCCGAACCAAACCCTTGTTTTCGATCTTGAGAATTTGATCTCAGCTACAGTATTAGATAAATGTCGCCTGAATTTTTTGTTCAATCATTATCATCATAAGGTAGTCAGTCCTAAGACTGGTTGAACACACACCTTCACTAAAGATTAGCTCAGGATAGGCTTTTCTATCCTGAGCTAATCTTCGCATTTCCCTAAAACTAGAACATCCTACATCCTTAACTATTTGCGAACAGTAGTCTAGGTCTAACTCTACCCCTCTTAACTCCCGTTTATGCCTCTAATATGTCTCTGACCAGACCTTCATCCCTGAGAAGGTGTCCTACCAACCTATCTCGCCTATTTCTTATTGACTTCCATAAAGTCCTCTGTTCTCCTATTCTTTCTAATAACCCTTCATTTCTAACCTTCTCTATCCACGGTATCCTCATCATTCGCCTGTAACACCACATTTCGAACGCTTCTAACCTTTTCTTTACCGCCGCGCCCACTGTCTATGTTTCGCACTCGTACAGTGTCGTGCTTCAAATATACACCTTTAACAACCTTTCTCGAATTTCTAAATTAACCGTTCGTGAGCGTAGACGTAACTTCTTTTTATTGAAGGTGACCCTGCACTATCCTTTAGTTTATATGCCTAGTACTCCGTCCGTCGTGACTTACGTGACTTCCTAGATATCTAAAATCGACCACTTCTTTTATTCAATATTCTCAAATTTTTCAAATTAAAAAGGACCGTCTGTCTTTCATAGAACAAATCATCTACGTATGCTTAGGTAACATTCTACTAGTTTTGGTCTTGCGAGAGAGATTCCTCGCCATTTGATTTTTTGGTCATGTTTTACATTTTTGGCAAATATAGTAACAATATTTTACTCATCACCATTTGGCAATACTATTGATACAATCGTTTTAAGTAACAAACACTTGATTAATGTCAATGGGATATTGTACGCGATTTTGTGGAGTGTGTGTTTTAATACCACAACATGTGCAGTTCAATAAATGAAATTGTAAAGAGTGTGAATAGAAATAGAAGTAGACAGAGGGCGAAAAAAAAAAGAACGTAGCTTACGCGGATAAATCCAGTCACCCTTGGGAAGTTTGGCTCTTATCTGTACGGTGCCGTAGGTGAATGAAAAGCTTTTTTTCGTGTTCATCCTCCCTGAAAGTACCGGCGGTAGTATTAACCAGGCTGTTGGTTTTTGAAAGCACTCCGTTGTACCGTGAACACCCGTGCACCTGTGTTTCACCAAAGCAACATTATTAAAAACGGAATGTAAAAAAGCGAAACTAGGAGAAGCACAGGATAAAATTTGTTTTAAAATTTGATTTCTGTAATCGCTTCTCTCCATCAAAAAGTAATTACAGAAAGTAATTAGTAATGGACATCAGCGGCTAACGTAAGATAATTTAATTTAAGAAAGAGGGACTTTTGTTTTATGTTTTCTGATACTTGAATTAATCGACTTATTTGTATAAGGGCTCCCCATAAATTGTGGGGGGGAATCCTGGTGGGTGTTATGGGTCTGTTACTTAGGGAAGATAGGGGATCAAGGTTTACGTAACGTAGTAATAAATAAAACAAGAACAAGGTGAGGACTGTTCCAGTCTTGGTATAAGTCTTTGCATTGCTTACTCGGTCTTGGTATTGACCTTGGAAATTAAAAAACCTTTTATTTAATTGAATCGTTACGTGGGGGGGGGAGGTCAAAAAGAGATAAATTTTGTATAACATGGAAAACACTAGAATTATTGTCAATGTGATTAAATAAATCCTTTACTTACCTATCTCCTAAGTCTAACCCGTTCGGCAATGTAACAAACCCGTTTCCGTACTGATTTTCGATAGGAATTGGATGTATAGAAAGGACACCATTGGCTACTTTTGTGTAGGTAGGATTGTTACTATACACAACGAATTCATAATCCTAGAAATAATTAATGTTTCGAAGAACATTTAACCATTATAAACTATTGTTTTTTTTTTTAATAATGAATCGGGAAGTAGTTTCTTACCGGAGCTCCGGCAAACCTTTGTTCCAGTGACCACAAATCTGGACGCCAGGTATCGAAAGTTTCTTCGAATATAAGTTCATTTTTACAAGCATTTCTACCACCGATTTGAGTTGCACTTGGTATGCATTGACCTTCTCCCGAAGGAGTTGTGGAAGTAGTGGTCGAAGAGGTCAATACAGCATCTCTTGGTACTAGTTCTGTATGTAATAAAGTTATAATTAATTAACAATTAATTTTATGTTGTTTTGAAGGTGGAATTTCGACCTTCCTTAGACAAAAATTTTCAGTCCATCTCCACTCTCTCAGAGTCTTTCAGCGTCTCTGAAAGCGTCTCTCACAGTCTTTCACAGTCTCTCAGTTATTGCTTAGGTGTTTTTATGGATCTCTCACAGTCTCTGTATGAGAGACTCGAACGATAAAGTTGTTAATTCAGAGATTCGAGTCTTTTACAGAGAGACTGAATGAATAAAACTAAAAAATTGAGAGACTCGAGTCTCTCGTAGAAAGACTGGGATCTCTGAAATATGTTGAACTTTTTAACCATGTCGATCGACACACCACTTATTGAGAGATTCGAGTCTCTCGTTCAGAGACTGGATACGAAATGAGGATCTCTCTTTGAGCGACTCGAGTCTCTCGTTCAGAGACGCTAAACAGTTTTTTTGACAGTCTCTCTACAGTCTCTCTCAGCGACACCAGAGAGACTCGATGAGAGACGGAGACTCGAGTCTCGCTTTCAGAGACTCTGAAAGACAGAACATTTTTACCTCGGGTTATATTGCTTATGTTTTTCTAATATTGGTCTGGGAACATGTTAATCATTTTCATTGATTGCCTTACCCTGCACTATAAACTTCTGGTCGTCTCTTGGATATCCCAATTTGTTCCCGTTATCATTGAAGATCACATAAGTCCAATAGTAGATTATATCTCCCGGTTTTAATTTCGTAGTTTTATCTGTGAAAGTCCATCTTCCATTTTTAGCTTTAACAATATCCCTGGCAAACGTTCCTGCTTCTCTGCCTTCGAATTCTTCGTTGATTTTTCCGTGGAATGCAAACAGATCTATTCCTTCCTCATCTGAAATTAAATCGTCGATCTCTCTAATTAAATTTTATAAGAAAAAAAAACGGACAGATGAAATTCGTGTACCATTTTTATCTCGAATAAATCTTTTGTATTTTTATTCCAGTTATGAAATCCTTTGGTCAACACGAATGACTTCATTTTGGGTTTGTAGAGTCCGATAATATTTTAGAGACGAGTTTATATTCGTATTAGTTCATAATTAAATCATTTACCTAATCATATTTAACGAACAAACGCAATCAATTTCCGATTAAAATATATAAATTAATTATTAATCAAGTATCAATTTTGTATCATTATTAGCAGTTTTAGCGTTACATTATATTAGCTAAATTAATATTACAACGGATTTGAAATATAACTAAAACAGTTTTCGACGATTAGCCGTAGTACAAGTATTGTTATAACATGTACCTATTATATCTCATGAATAAGAATTAACTCCAGTATTTTACATTGAACAGCTACTTGGTTTCATAAAACAAACAACTGTATTTTCAAGCGTTTGCTTACTTACCTGGTATTGAAACTTGAAAACCTCTCGGTGAAAATGCTATCACTTCAGCGTCAGGCACATCATAAGCACTAACACTAATTAATGAAATACATAAGATCACAACCGTAGACGAAACAATTGAACCGTATTTTTTATAAATAAGTGCCATGATTATTTCCAGAATGAGGCAAAGTCAGTATGTGAGCAGAGAATTTAAGAAACTGGTTGTAGAGAGAGGATTTTCCGGTAGTTATATTACGTATGACTGTGTGCGTTGTGTTGTGAATCAGTAAGGTCAACTAAAGTTTATCTAATGTGTGCATTTTGAGTGAATTAAGTAGTATTTACCAGAAATTCGTTAAATCGTCATTTAAACATAAACAATGCTAATTATTACTGTAATTAACACAGGCATTAAATGAGTAGTAAAATGTAGATAGGAAGGCGTTTTATAGATACAAATTTGATAATACATAGTATTAGGTGCTCAATAATTATCATTAAAATAAACAATTGACTGCTTAGTTTTAAATAAATGGAACACCCAGTATAATTATTGCAATTACCTGATTATTCATATGTATATTTATTCAAATGGGTGACAATTATCTATGTATGATGTAGATATATTAATGGCGAGTAAACTCGCTAATATTATCCGACAAACTTTTACATTTTGTTTTAATTATTAAACGTGTATCGCAAAGCAATCGCCGATTAAATAGGACAATGCATAAAAATTGTGCCAAAACCAGCGTACAGGACATTTAATGAATCTATTTTGCAAACAACGTTCACTGATATATGTCCAGTTCAAATTTTAACATATCAAATGTTTTTTATTAATGAAAACAAATGTGATAGGTCAGAATATCATGTATTACGAGAAAATAAATGTAAAAAGATGAAAAAAAAAATACTAATTAAACACTTTTATTAACAGTCAGTTGTGGAAATCTTAATTTGTTGAAATCGATTCGTTCTTGAAACTCATATTAAAATTATTTCGGTAATTTATTTCTTGCAGTTTCCATTATTAGGTACATTATTTTCGAAAATATCTTGCCAAATATACCCCTACAGACTTATAACTATTATGGTATTGAATACAATCTTTGATAGCGTGGTAAGATCTAAAGCAAACCTTGATACTGTAACGAAACCCTCTGTAAACCTTGATGGTACTATAAGTCTAGTACAAACCTTGACGATGTCTTAAGCCTTCGATAATATTACAGTGAGCAAGAAAAGCTTTAATGATGTAATGAAATCTGGTGAAATCCTTCATAAAATTGTGGAGCCCAATATAGACCTTGATATGACATTGTAAAAAACTTAATAATATAAAGCCTAAAATGAAAACCTTGATAATGTTATGAAACCAAACAAAAACTGCGACAATGTTGCAAAGCCCAAATTACAACTTGACGATTAAAGGTACAGTGCAAAACGTGATGGTATTGTAAAAGTCCAAAATACAAAAGATGATGTTATAAAGCCCATACTACAAATTTTTCTAATGTAATGCAGCCAAATAAGAACTCTAATGATGAATTAGGACTAATAAATCCGTTGTAAATATTATAAGTCCGAAATAATAAATACATTTATCTCTATCAAAATAGAAGCTAAAGCTTCAAAATTAAAAGAGTTAAAAACGTTATTTTTTGGTTTCTTTTGCATCCTTCTTTACCAAAAAAAACTCAAATCGAGTTTGTTTACGGTTCATATCGAAGGTATTTTAATTTTCTACAACTTGTAATCAATACAAATTAATCTATAATTCTCGACGTATATCGAAAAAACGAAATTTTTTTAATTTTCTGCGGCTTTTTCGATGCCATTTTGTTTTGACAAATAATTTCCCTGGATCGTTTATGATTTATTTACTAAAAGTTTTAAATTAAAAAAGCTTTTTATACAGCAAATATTTTAATATAGTCAACAATCAGTGCGGAATCATTGCCCCAGGTGGAATACCATTGATCCATTGCCTTGTAAAAGTTCCTCTGATTTTTCGGGTCGTTGTTCTTCCACGGCTTGGTATCAGAATCCGGGAAGCACAAGCCTCCTACCCCAACCCCAATCACCAAATACATCTAAATGAAAACAAAATTAAATTGGTCCTCACTGTGTCGTTTTTCTACGAATATTTGTTATTGTAAATTTGAAATTAAATTGAAATGAAGCAATTGGTAGAGATAAACGGAAGCTAAATTATTTGGTATTCAGGTAATTCAGGATATATAGTGTCCTTCATACCTCTTTATCAAATGGGGCCATTTTAGATCCACTTCTCCATCTTTCAGCCGTCTCACTTGCAATACCTATGGTGTTCGCATCCTGTGCAAATCCTCCCTGGGGTGGATATATATTACCGTAATTTTCTCCGTCTACACTGACACTTATTCCATCTGCAGGATTAATTGCAATTGTAATTAACACGGAAACAGATTTCAGGTGTTACCGAGATAGTGTTGGGGTACTTTAAGTTTACGTAATACGTAATTACTAGGTGTTCTTTTGTAGGGATAGATATACAGGGCAAAATATTAGTATGCTTAGACTTGCAGATGATATAGCAGTATTAGCATCTAGCAAGGAGGAGTTAGAGATAGCTAGAAATAAAATGGAAAAGGTGTTGGCAAAACTGTATTGTATGAAATAAAATAAAAGTAAAACAAAAATACTAGTATGCAAGGGAAGAAAAAGTAGTAAAAGAGCGAATATAAAGATAGGAGACGAAAAATTAGAAGAAATGACCGATTTTAGGTATCTAGGAACTCAGATAAGTCAGGACGGAAGGAGTAGTAGAGATATAAAGAAGATAGCGAAGGGTCGAGTCGCCTTCAGTAAAAAGAAGTCACTTCTATGCTCGCGTACAGTTAATTTAGAAATTCGAAAAAGGTTGTTAATGGTGCATGTTTGGAGCGAAGCGCTGTACATGCGATACATGGACAGTGGGCGCGGCGGAAAAGGAAAGGTTAGAAGCGTTCGAAATGTAGTGTTACAGGCGAATGATGAGGATACCATGGATAGAGAAGGTTAGAAATGAAGAGGTATTAGAAAGAATAGGAGAACAGAGGACTATATGGAAGTCAATAAGAAATAGGCGAGATAGGTTAGTAGGACACCTTCTCAGGCATGAAGGTCTAGTCAGAGACGTATTAGAGGCAGAAGCGAAAGTTAGGAAGGGTAGAGGTAGACCTAGATAAGATTACTGTTCGCAAATAGTTAAGGATGCAGAATGTTCTAGTTTTAGGGTAATGCGAAGATTAGCTCAGGATAGGAAGGAGTGGAGGTGCGTGTCCAACCAGTCTTAAAACTGATGACCTTATGATGATGAGGTATTCTTTTGAGTAGTCACTTCCTTACGTTTCTTTAATTTTCTTTCGTTTGCATATGGAAAACTCACCGGGAGTCCATTTCATTTCGTACACATGAAACTCGTTACGCCATCCCGGTTCCTTACGCAGTCTTCTTGTTCCGTAGTTCCTTGCTGTCACTGAACCTCCTAGGATACAGCCGGCGGACAAGTCGCTGTTAGAATTTCGATTTCCAGATGCGAAAGCTATGTTGATTTGACCCGAGTCGTAATGGCGGCCGTATTCTTCGCTCTTCGAATTTAAAAACAGCTCTACAACAACAAAACGTTTCTATGCCTAACACCTCGAACCTCCCATCCCTTATGCATTATTTAACAACCCGATATCCTACTGTTAAACGCACTTCTGTCTCATTCGCTAGTTGTTCAACTTGAAAAACAAAAGATCTCAACAAGATACATTTAAATGATTCTGGGTTGGTTATATTTATTGTTCAACTAGTTCATTAGATCATTCTCAAATTACATTTTAGTTATCTATTTGCCCTTTCAAACAGCTCCATAAAGAAAAAAATAAGCACATAATATTATAGAGAAAGGTAGAGCTATGTCTTCAGCTATTAGAACTAGAACATTTTAAGAAACTGTTAATGAGCTTTAACATGAAGCAGAATCCAAAATTAGGTTACTTTTCTCTAGTATTTGTCTTCTTAGGAACTTGCTTCCAGTCTTCCACTTTATAAAAGTCTTTTGTTTGGTCTTGACTTAAAAATCTTACGTTTTTGATCATCCCCATTTCACGTTATGTTACATCAGTGTGCCAGAGATAGTCTTAATCACTTTGTGAATACCCCAATGTGTGCAATTATTAGTGAAATTATGAAAAAAATATATTTGAGACCCTTACAGCTAGCCCTTTCATTTGATATGTCATACGGTACAATTTGGAAAACATTTTTTTAATTTACCATTGGCCCCCCAAAAATGACCCCATGTTCAAAATTAATTTATTTACGTTATGCGTCCGTGTTTGGGTCACAGAAATTCATATGTGCATTAAATTTCTACTTAATCGGTCCGGTAGATTCATAGCAAATTGATTGTAACAGACGCACAATACAGACACAAGAGGGTTCCGTTTTCCATGCGGACATACGGAGCCCTAAAAAGTGAATGCAACTTACGTGGATATATCCAATCACCCATGGGTAGTTTAGCCCTTATCTGTACGGTGCCGTAGGTGAATGAAAAGCTCTTTTTCGAGTTCATCCTCCCTGAAAGTACCGGTGGTAGAATTAACCAAGCTGTTGGTTTTTGAAAGCACTCCGTTGTACCGTGAGCACCCGTGCATCTGCATTTTACCAAAGTTTTACATTACTTATTAGCAGCGGATGATAAAAAATAAAGATAAAAGAAGCACATGCAACTGCCTAGGACAAAATAAATTATTCCCACTCTCATGTAATTTAATTTGGAAAAGACAAATACTTTTGTTGTCTGTTTTCTGATCTTTGTCAAAGTGTTCGGCTCCTTCACTTACTTATCTCCCAAGTCTAACCCATGCGGCAGTGTCACGAACTCCTTTCCGTGTTGGGAGTATTGAAAGAACACTATCTCAACAGGAACTGGGAGTATCGAAAGGACACCACTTTCCACTTTTGCGTAGACGGGATTATAATTATACACAACGAATTCATAATCCTGAAAATAAAAATGGAAAGTTTTCAACCGTTTTTTTATCGTTATAATATAAACTATTTCTGCCTTGAGATAAAATAAAGACTTAAAAAATTCAGTTTCTTACCGGAGCTCCGGCAAACCTGTGTTCCACTGTCCACAAGTCTGGACGCCAAGAGTCGAAATTTTCTTCGAATATAAGTTCGTTTTGACAAGCGTTTCTGCCATCGACTTGAGTGGCACTTAGTACACATTGACCTTCTCCCGAAGTAGTTTTAGAAGTACTGGTCGAAGAGGTCGGCACACCGTCTTTCGGCAATAATTCTGTAATAGTAATTAGTAAAGTTATAATTAACGTTAATTATAATTATAATTATGTTCTGTTTTGGAATTGAAATTGCGACCTTAGAATTGTATTTTTAAACGTTGTAGAAGTATTTATACATTAATTTTATTAAAAATAACAATATTTACTATGACTAACTTCTGGCATTTGATATGTCTATAAATAACCGATTAATTTAATTTAAATTCATAGCCAATTAACTAAATAAACGATCATGTTAGGTATTTAAAATTTAATACTTTTGGCATTACGGTTTACAAGTTCTGTTTTTATTTATTTCTCTTTCTCAAGATATTATTGTCTATAGGAATAAAAGCCAAGCCTTCGGCTAAAATATTTTAATATCGCTTTTAAAATCGTTTAATACTTAATCGTATTGCCTTACCCTGTACTACAAATTTCTGGTTGTCCCTTGCATATCCCAATTTATTCCCGTTGTCATCATAGATTACATAAGTCCAATAGTAGATTATATCTCCCACTTTTAATTTTATATTTTTATCTTTGTATATCCATCTTCCTTTTTTAGGTTTTACAATATCCTTGGCAAATTTTCCTGCTTCTCTGGCGACGAATTTTTCGTTGATTTTTCCATGGAATGCAAACAGATTTATTCCTTCCTCATCTGAAATTAAATCGTCCGTTTCAACTCTAATTAAATTTTGTGAAGAAACAAATGACACAATTATGTGTCTACGGGCGTTACTTTCGTATTAAACTATTTTATTTTTATTTAGGTTACGAAATTCTTTTAGTAACATAAATGACCTTTACCTATTTACCTATCTAGTCCGGTAAATTTATTTTAGAGGCGCAGTTAGGTACACAATAAAAGTGTAAATTATTATATTTTTATCAGTTTTCTTGCTTACCTGGAATGGAAACTTGGAAACCTTTCGGTGAAAATACTATCACTTCAGCGTCAGGTATCTCATAAGCAGTAACACAGATTAATAAAATACAGAAAACAATAATCACAGGAGAAAGTAATGAATCGTATTTTTTGTTAATACGAACCATGATTATTACCAGAATGAGATAAAATTAGTATGTGAATAGATAATTTAAAAAACTGGTTATAGAGAGGGGATTTTTGTAAATTTGTAAGGTCACCCAAAAAATTGTCTGCGTGTGTACGACTGTGGAATGTTTTAAGCATTTTCTAGAGATTCGCCAAGTCCTCATTTATAATAGAAACAATGCTAAATGTTACTACAATTAATACAGGTATAAATGTTTAAAAAACAAACTGCCGCCTTGCGACATGCTCAATTTTCTTATAAGTATAAAATAATAAATAGATTTTTCAAGAAACCCCAATTTGTTTTTAAATTAAAATGTAAGTACTATACGGTCATCAACGATATCATTTTTGTTCGTGAGATGTCGCGTAAAGAAATACGATCATGAATCTACTTTCATACATACAAACATGCAATGCTATTGTGACCTTCAGAAATATGAAGAAAACTACGATCTTGAGTATGACAATAAAAGTTGATACAGTAAATAAAACACCCAGTACACTGGTAATTATTTACGGTTAACACAAATTCATTCAAAAGCCTGCCAATTATTGGGGTCCGATTGCTGTTAACAAACAAATGAACTTTTATATTGTTATTTATAATTATTAAACCACAAAATACCTAATCGCCGATAAAATAGTGCAATACACAAAAATTGTACTAAAAGCGCTAACATTTAATTAATAATTTTAAATGAAGTCACAAAATATAATCTATTTTGCAAACAGCGTTTATTTGATACATATATATGTCTATATATCTAGTTCTAATTTTAATACATATATATATATTGAATGTTTTTCATTAATGAAAACGAATGTGATTAGGTAACATTAGATTAGTGAGGATATTATGTACCTATATGCCAGAAAAAAACGTTATAAAAGATTAAAAAATACAAATCAATACAATTTGTTTGTTTGCTACCATTTCACGCTTTAACCACTCAATCGATCATCATGAAATTTTGTGCACACATTGTTAGGAATATAGAAAAGAATATAGGATACCCTTCATTCAGAAAAAATTCTGTTCTGAGGAATAGAAAAAATAATTTTATGTCATCGTCGATGATCTTTGACACATGCTTAGGACATCGATGCGAGCGAAGCGGCGGGTAAAACCTGTCATTAAATGTTGTAGACACATTGTCAAGGGTACAGAAAAGGGCATAGGTTAGCTATTGTCCAGAAAAAAAAAATACATTTCTCAAGGGGTAGAAAAAATAGATTTATGTGATCGTCGATGACACATATTTAGGGAATCAACGCGACCAAAGCCGCTGGTAAAACGTAGTAGTCCATATTAATTTTAATCTTCAATTACAGCAAGCAGGGTAGGTACATCAAATAGAAAAATTGAAAACGTTGTTACAACTCTCAAAGATATCTACCCTGCGTTCTAATTGTAGGTTAAATATTTGCTAATATGATGGTTTGTAATGCGGGGCGTATTAGCTAGCTAATATCTATCAGTTATAGATAATCATAAGTGCATACACGTTGTACGCTTGTGACAAATGGATGATGTGGAAATGGATTTCTGTTGTCGTCACAGGGTTAACTTGGCACTGCAGTTGCATTGTCGTGTAAGTAATCAACTAATTACTGTCAAAATTGACGTGATATTGTATGCTCTCTGTCCATTATAGTTGTATCAGTTTAAATTACAAATAGGTAGCGTCTATTCCAGAACGTCGATCCCGGCGTTTGTGTCACCTGTGCCTATTTACATTCCTTGCTAATAGGATTCAATTACAATACGAAAATTACCGCGTACCAAATTGTGCCTGGCCAATATCCGGATACATAACCTACAATTGGTAAAGATCCGATCGATCGAATCGACATTGTTTACAAGATGGTTAGATACTAAACTTCCGAACTGGTCATCTAATTGACTCGTTTGTAACAATGCAACAAGAATAATTTGATAATGAAACAGAATTACCAATTTGTCGTGCTATTTAAATATTCGCTATGTATACCAATTTTAGCCCAATAATATTCCGCAGACTACGAAATAATTGAAAATACGTACCAGAATCTACTTGTTACAAGTTTTTCTACAAATTAGATGGGCTGTTTTAGAAAAAACACATTCTAAACTAACAAAATAATTCGAAGTGGTCTGTATTCTGTCGAAACTGCCAGACGCAGATCGCGATTTCGATCTTTTTGGATCTCATCAGCGCGTCGCAGGCAGCTCCGACA